GAGGAGAAAGAACAGGGAGAGAAGAAAGAACAGGGAGAGGAGAAAGAACAGGAAGAGGAGAAAGAACAGGGAGAGAAGAAAGAACAGGGAGAGAAGAAAGAACAGGAAGAGGAGAAAGAACAGGGAGAGGAGAAAGAACAGGGAGAGAAGAAAGAACAGGGAGAGAAGAAAGAACAGGGAGAGAAGGGAAATTGTCACTAAATGAAAGGCAGCACCATCGCCAAAATTACGACAAGAAGGAAAAGTCACGGAAAAGTGAAACGAGAGAACCGTGTCCTGTTGAAGAAGGCGATTTGGACACGGAGGAAGAACAAAGCCAAGAAGAGGAGGAGGAAGAACAAAGCCAAGAAGAGGAGGAGGAAGAACAAAGCCAAGAAGAGGAGGAGGAAGAACAAAGCCAAGAAGAGGAGGAGGAAGAACAAAGCCAAGAAGAGGAGGAGGAAGAACAAAGCCAAGAAGAGGAGGAGGAAGAACAAAGCCAAGAAGAGGAGGAGGAAGAACAAAGCCAAGAAGAGGAGGAGGAAGAACAAAGCCAAGAAGAGGAGGAGGAAGAACAAAGCCAAGAAGAGGAGGAGGAAGAACAAAGCCAAGAAGAGGAGGAAGAAGAAAATGAAGAAGAGTTCCACTTAAAACAGCAATGGACAAAGTACAGTAAAAAAGAGGAGGGAGAGCTAAGTAAAGAAGAATCGCGCCTTACACAGCTCTGGGATCAAGAGGAGGAGGATTCAGAGCTCAGTGAGGAAGAGTCCCAACAAAGCAAAGGAGGAGATAATGTAATCATGTATTTTACTCTACTAACATTATGAAATTCATATTGAATATATCATAACATATTCGAATATACATAAGAGTACTTTTCCAGCTTTAGAAACTTTAAGTAGGTATACTGATTTAGAAAATATATTAGTTTTATAATTATATTCCTCGTTTCATCTATATAATTATGTTTTATTTATTTATTCACTTATCTATTCAGTTTACTTACCATGATTCTGTAAAGTACTGTTACAATAATGAGTCCCTTTTCCACAGCTACTTTTCGAACCATACCGGATGGCTTCTCAACCTCGTGGTAACGTCTACATCTTCAACTACAAATTCAAGGGAAAACACAATTACCGCAATGGAGCTGAACACGACTCTGAAACCATCAAAGCCACGTTCACCAACATGGGTTATCGGGTATTTACCAAAGAAGACTTGTCCAGAAGAGCGACTCTGATGGAGCTGAAACTCATAAGAGATGGAGAGAGCATTAGAGACGTCGACAGCATGATCATGTTCATTCTAAGCCACGGGAAAGGTGTTCGCGACTTCATTACTGAGGACGGGCTCAGTCTGTCCCTTTCCCGAATCCATCAAATGTTCACGGACGCGCAGTGCCCAGCCCTCCGAGGGAAACCTAAGATCTTCTTCGCGAACTTCTGTCGCAAAGGCGTTTATGAAACATGTCCCGTTTTCGAAGCTTCGGACCCTCCAAGGGACATGGTAACCATCCACGCCGCAGGGGAGGGAATCGACGCCCTTCGCAACACCGCCTTCGGAACGTACTTCATCCGCAACCTGTGTCAGGTGCTGCAGGGACACGCCGGCGAGAAGAGTCTTCGGGAAATCTACTTGGAACTGGCCGAGAGAGAGGGGACGCAACCCATGTGGGAGGATTTCGTCTTTCGGATTTTTTACTTCAGTCCTACGAAGTCAAGTACGAAGACGTCGGGCATGAAGAGAGATGATAATTGTAGGTAAAGAAACATTCACTTAGCACGAGTTACCTGATTTTGTGCATTTATGATAAGATTAGATAATGCATTAAAAAAAAAAAAAAAAAAAAAAAAAAAGTGTATAAATAAATGAATATATACTTTTTTCTGTCCACTGATCATAACAGTTATTTTCCCATAATCATTTGATAATGGATGGGGAAAGTGACATGTTGGCAAACCTCATCCTGGCTCCCCACGAGCGCCTTCCGCCAGCAACTGGAAGGGGGGGGGGAGCGAAGACAAGGAGATTTCTTTACTGTTTTAGTAATTTTGTTTAGACTGCTATAGATTTTTTTTCTGCTTTACAACCTTATTTGTAGGTTTGTATTTTTATTTATCTCGATCAGATAACTGTTGTCCTTAAGTTGATTATCTTATTTTACTCATCTCCTGATTTCGACCTATTATTTTTGCTTTACTTTACGAGCATTTTTGTCTCATCCTCTGGACTCTGGACCATAGACTAGTATGGGATGTAATGTTTTTCGTTTATTAAAATTGGAAGCACATTTATAACTTGTCGTGATTCATGACGTCACCAAGTCTATATATACCGTTAGAAAAAGCGCGAATTACACTCAGTCATTATTGCATTATTTTCTTTGTGTGACATCTTTTCTTGGGACACCTGAGTGAGGGAGAGAGAGAGAGAGAGAGAGAAACAGAGACAGACAGAGAGAGAGAGAGAGAGAGAGAGAGAGACAGACAGAGACAGAGACAGACAGAGACAGAGAGAGAGAGAGAGAGAGAGACAGAGAGAGAGAGAGAGGGGAAGAGCATCCCTTTAAGCTAGACAAAATTCCACCCGCCAGTTTAATCCAGGACAGCAAGCTAACAATAACCTTACGGCGCAGCTCTCCAGTACTGGTGATGCCGAGATTAACACACGCGTGAGAGATGCTGCTACGGTTTACAATAGCGAACACCATTCTTAGGTTTTTATAACGTACACGAAGCCTACGAAACTCTGAAGTCCATCACGAACGGTATGCAGTAGAGAGAAGTAAACAAACTTTTAAACAGAAGTACCTTAACATCATGTGAACAACTATCAGAGTTCGAAATAAAGTAATTAGCTCTAATACACAATCAACTATGTAGCTTCTCTATGTGACGATTATCTGAGTTAACAAGTAGGTTCTATCGCAGGTGTTTTATACAACCGTGATTTGTTAAACAATCTTTTGTGAAATCAGTACGTCTCAGTAAGCAGCGTTTTTAAGCCAGCTAATGAGGGGCAAAGGAGAGCAGTGTCATCTGCATACATGAAGTGATTTACGAATTGATCATTGATATAAATCCTATTTTGTGGTTATTCAGCTTGGTGGAAAAATCGTCCATTCGGAAATTAACGAAATAGGGCGAGAGGATGCTGCCCTGTTTTACGCCACATGTGGCACTGCAAGGGAACCTGTAGACGAACATCGCTTTTCATTCATCCTTTGATTTGCATACCACTCCTGGACTAGGTGCACGATATACTTGGAGACGCCTCGTTCTGATAAGTTCTGAAATGGGAGGGCAAGGGATATTCACTCGAATGCTTTGGACATACCTAAAAAGTACGCGTATACCTTGGTGCTATGTCGCGTTCTGAATAGATTCGACTTACATTTGCCTGCAAACTGATTATCGTTTGTTCTCAGATTAGCAGAAAACCGACTGAGTAAGAAAGTTTCGAGAATTTTGGAAAACTCTGAGCGGAAGATGGTAATTATTCTTACCGCTCGACTCGCCTTTTTTATCTTTAAGCAGCGGTGCCAATATTCCTTCTGGTAATTCATCGGGAAAAGCTGAGTGCTTATGCACATATTAAAGAGAAGCCTGAGCATGACAAACAACCGGATGCGGACATGACGTGCTGAGGGATGACGCTATCGCACCGGCGCTGCCGCTAGTGCTGAGAAAATTGCGTTTCCCATCTCTCGAACAGTATTAGACGGTGCGTCGGCAATATTTCGTGACAATGTTACAGCTGGTTCATTGTAAATGTTTTGTGGAAAGGAGGCGAAGCGATGATATGATTAGACCATTGCCTCCGGGGATATTATGTACGTACATGCCATGCCCACTGTGAGTTTACTTGTTTAATTGTTTTTACACATAGATGGATACACTTGTGCTAAGTCACCAGTGATCCAGTCATGAGTATTGCCTGTCTCGCCCGTTCATCCTTTTCGAAAATATTTTAAGTTATCTTTTTTTGCTGTTACAAATATTCATAACATTATAGTAATTATAATGTTTATAATAAAAATAACATCATCGATATTTATAGCACTAGTAAAAAATACGTTTTTTTTCCGCCAATTCAAGGAAAGGTGAGATCAGGTAAGGTCTCAAGACCTACTAATTGACTCCTTTGTGGCTAAGCACTAGCAGAGCCATCTATGTACAGAGACATTTCACAAAAAATATTTTAAAATGAGCACAGCATGGTCTGTGCTTGATTATTTATATGAAATATGAAATGAAAATTCGCTTCACTATTTTCTATAGTTTATCATCAAATTCCTATCAAAGTACTTTTTATGGTAGATATTCATTCCTTAAACTTTTTATTACTTACTGACGTTTTTCATATTGATTTTGTCTCAATACATATTTTTACTCTGATCTCATGCGTGTATTTTACATTTTATTAATGAATTCAGGCCAAATCTTTAGGAATTTCATGTTGTCGGCATCTGTCTACATAATCAGCCACTGTTTCGCGTTAAGTGCTATAACTTGAAATATTACACTAATCTTCTAACAAAACATCCAGAAATAGAAAGACAAAGAGATGGTAATGGTAATTCCTCAGAACACTTGAACGTCATGGGTTACGACGAAAATGCTGATGATGGCTTCCTCTCACCCTCTGCTGTTCGCACAAGGTACACAAAGAGCCCAACTCTGTGTAGTTGGCAAATTAAGATTGTAATTTTTTTTTCTTAGTTTCCTTTCGATTATTTTTTACTTAGTTATTTTCAAAGAAATTTCACAAAAAAAATAAATAAATAAATAAAAAAACACAAAATATTACACAAACTGAATGGGTCAAAAATGACGTCATCCCATTTAGGCCAATGAGAGTACGTCGTGAGATATAAGATAATTTACATGATATAGGTATAATTGCCAGAAGTAAAATCAAAATTCCCCTCTTTATTATACGATAAAGAAGAGTTCCATTAACACCATTAACAGCCATCAGAATATTCTCGGGTAAAGGTCAATTTCATTTTGGGTTCA